CACTACGTAAACTTAAAAGAATCACCACTCGAACACCCCGTCTAACTGTCGCAATTCGCAAGGATTGCACGTTAACAATGTGATGATTTTACTATAAAAATCTATTATGTAATCATATACAAAGTGACTTAAATCACTTCAAAAAAGAAAAATAACTTTAAAATTTGCTAACACTGTATTGTGAAACTCAAATCAGTTATTTAAGTTATTTGAGATTATTTAAGTCATTTACTATCAATATATTTAAAAATACCAAACTTAAGAAAATGTGAAAATTTGTGTTAATGAGTTTGTAAAAATATTTTTTATTCAATAATTTAATTGTAACTTTACAATAAATAAAGTTATATTTGTAATAAAATAGAAATCTGTAAGAAGCCAATTATTGTTAAATTATTATTTAAGAAATGACTAACTTTATATATAATAAATATTAATTTAGGATATTAACAGTTAAGTATTATATTTAATTACACCTTTTTTATAATTTATAAGAGCAGAATAATAGTTTACAAAAATCTTATAATAGTTTTATATTAACTAAATTTTATTATACTTAATCTCACTTTATTAAAATTCTTTTAATAAATTGAGTTAATATATTATAGCTATTCATTTAATAAATATTAAAATCCCTTTATTAAGTAATAAATTTTTAAAGATCTAGTATATTAAAGAAACTAAGAAGATTAGTTAAAGTTACAGATATAAGTATGTATAAATTGATTTAAATAAATAAATAAAGATAGTTTACATAATATTATTATTTTATTAAATAATATAATATAAGTTAGTAGTTCTAATTAATTAATAAGAGAATAAATAATATATTCAATTATATGGATTTATTAAGTAAAATGATAGTTATTAATCATGAGATGCATATATAATAGAGAATTATTTAAATAAGTTTATTTAATAAATAAAAAAGTATATAGAAAATTAAATATAATTGTTAAAAGCATAATTCATTTAAAGATATTAACCATTAAATATAATTAGAGAATGGTAACTGTTTTAGTTAGTAGTATAATAATTTAATGTTCAATTTTTGTGAAATATACATAACCAGCAATGCAGAATTCTTAGAATTACTGAAAACAATTCAGTATAATTCTCTTCTCAAATATTTTTTATCTCATATTCAAGAACATCCACATTTATCAAATTGTTTGCCTTTAATAATACTAAAAAAGGCTACCGGCAGTCTTGCAATTCAAGATAAGTTTAACGAAAGAGATTATCAAGAATTCTTATCTATGTCTAAAAATATAGAAAAAAGCGCAGGAGCAGGTTCAGAACCCTTTCCTGATATCTTTCTTAATCTGAAAAAAGTGAACATAAACCTTATGAAAGAAGTAATAATTTTATTAGCTAAATATTATCATAATGCATATGATAAAGATTTTATATTATTATCAAAGATTTATCTTTCGGATACTATGCTGATACTTCTAAAGGTAAATATTTGCGGGCGATTATAACTTGATACTAAAGTTTTCAGATCAATGTATTCAAAGGGCATACTAAATCAGCTAAGATTTTAGCACAATTTACTCATGAAGATACTAAAGATACTTATGCTAATATAGTTCAATATTATTTTAAATATACTGTATACTTTCTGAAACCAGAAGGTTCTAAGAAATATTCTTTAGTATTCGTGAGATAGTATTTACTGGCAGAGGATTATAAAACTAGATTCCATTGTAAGATTAATAATAATGATAATTCTTGTAATATCGAGTTATGAAAGAAAAATTTTTATGATCTTAGTAAAGATTGTATAATTCTAGTATATAGTATATTGGATCAGTTTGTTAAGGATTCTTTTTCAATAGGCAAAAAGAAATCACAAAAATACATGACAGTAATACTAATAAATAGAAGGATTTATATCTAGCATTAAAACATATAATACAATAATTTCTTTGTTTATACTAGTTATACTAATATTCAATTTTTAAAGTATTGATATGTTTAATTACATAAATAAATAAATAATAAATGCTGAAAATAAAAGTGTTAACCTATCTATATGTCTATATTCTCTGTCATTGCATATCAAATATTATTCTATGGAATATCAGATATTTATGATACTTTACTGATGATATCTTTTAATATTTAATAACAAAATTAGTAATATTTTATGTAAGAATTGAAAATCTGGGAGGTATATAATTTACTATATAATATTTACTGATTAAAGCCAATATGTCTTAAAAACAGTTAGTATCTCATAAGGTCAGAACTATAAGCATACCAGGATACTAATTATTATATGATAAAAAAAGCAATGACCAGTTGAGAATCAAAACCTAATTTGTTTTTGATTCTTAATTAGCTAATATTATCCTAATTCTTTATCATTTGACCAGTATAAGGCTATAGTTACTTATTTTAAACCATTATAAAATCAAAAAATGTCAAATTTTAATTAGTTAATATAATGTAACACATATGATTTTCTAAATTCTACAAAGATCTGTAATATATTTTTTAATTTTAATTTTTAATACAACATTTTGTTAATCTGCAACTTCTAACTTAAAGCTAAAGATCATCATCCTTAATTTTATGTAGATTTCTTTTAATATAATTGTTTGTTTTTATCATATTATATATAGCAATTTGTTAGCAATTCTGGATATATAAAAGAAAGCTTGCAATAGTCAAAATTACATGTAAGATATTCTTAGTCATGACTATTTAAGCAAGGAAAAATAAAAGAGGATTATATGTAAAGTATTTTTAATTATAACTATCTAAGTAAAGAAGAATAAAAACATGAAAGATTCTGCAACTTTGTAAAAGAATATCTATAAATAAAAATTAATTAGTATTCTTATTTATATATAAATATTAGAAAATAATCATATTTATTGAATAAAAGTTTTTTCAGATAGGACAAATATCTTGTTTGTGATTAGTATAATTTGAAAATACATTATAGCAAAGTATTTATTTTTGGTAAATATGTGATAATATATAATAATAAAATAGTTTAAATTTGTGCAATAAAATATTATCAGCTAAATTAGTTGATTTTCTAGCTATACTAGCAATTTTTATTAAATTAGAGATGTTAAATAATCCTAGAATCTCATCAAAAGTAATAGCAAATAATCCTTTAATCTTATATATATAATTTATATCAAAATATAAGTAAATTTTTTTAAAATAAAAGATAAAAACAATTTATAAATTTTATTAAGTAATTAATATATAGTGTATTCTATTTACATTAATATATTTGATTAAGTATACTATTAATACAGTTAAGTAATATAGAGTTATCAAGATTATTCTATTCTTCATGAATTATATTAAAAAAATTTCATTTAAAATTATTGTACAACTATTTTTTCAAATATTTTTAATCAATTGAGATTTAAACTATAAGAAGATTAAGGAAAAACCTGATTTAAAAGATGAGTTTTTAAGTTTTTTTAACATATTTAAAAGTATATTTTAGATTATTATCTTATTGAAAAATCCAGCAGTAACCTATAATTCATTTGCATTATTATAGAGATAATTGTCAAAAATTTAACAATATAAGTAACAATCAAGATTTTCTGTAAATATGTATATACTAACCTTTCTCTTGACATTGATCATAGTCTAAATATACAATTTAAAAAAATGCTTAACTATAAATAAATAGGATTCTCATTTTTAAACTATAGTAAAGTTATATTATAGATATTTAGATTGTAATCTCATTAGAAAAAATCACTTTTTTCTAATCATAATACAAGTAGTTATATATTCAAGACAAATAATTATCTTTTGCTTTTTAAGTCAAAAGAGAAAATTTTTAAAAAAGAATTGCTATATAATTAAAATAGTAAAATTCTTATTAAATAGTTACTTCACTAATCTTCAGATTTAAATCCTTTTCTTCAAATATGATTTTTAATTCTCTTACTATAGTGAAATAATTATTCTTGATAATCATTCTGATATAATAGCATTTTGGGATTTTAATTTTTGTGGTTAGTCAAATCAATAAATTTTAGAAATCTTATTATTTTTTCAAAAAAAAGCAATATATTTTTTATAAGATTACAAGAAAATTTCAATTTAGATAAAAATTATCTTTATACTATATATATTTCTATTCTAAAGAAACTTTACAACTTTATGATTCATTTTAATAAATATTGATAGCATTTTGATTTTGATAAATAATAAAAAAGTTTAATTTATTTTTTTATTGTTTATTTATATATAATCATTTCATTATTTAATTTAGTTTAATAAATAATAAGTTAATCAGAATAACAGAAATACTATAGTCTATGAAAAATAATATTCTACTGCTATTATTTTTAACAGAGATTATAAGTAGTTATAAAAGTTTAAAAAAATTACAGGATTATTTTTACAAATTTATTATAAAACTTATCTATTATAATGTTTAATAAGTTACTTAATAAAAGTAAATAATAAATCCTTTTAGAATCTCAGAATTTCTATAATACATTTTTATCATTTAACCTTTTTTTTTTCTTTAATATTGACTCAAATAATATCAATTTTATTATAAATTTTAAGTAAATCATTTGAAAAAATAGTAAGTAAATATTGATAACTCTAACCTAATTATTCTTATAATTAGGATTATAATGAATTCTTATTAGAAATAATTAATACACTAATAAGAAATCTTTCAAAAAATTAAAAAAGAAATTTTTATTAAAGCAAGTTATTAGAAATCATTATTAAATAATAATCATAAAATTCTGATCTATTAATGAGAATAGATAAACTTTCTTATATATTATATAAAATATTTTAATACTTAATTTTAAAATAATTTTTATAATATGATTTAATAGTAAATCTTACAATTATAATTATTTTATAAAATATGTTTGGTGATATAATCATCCTTATTTAATAATAAGTATAAATTTAAATTATATATATAATTAAATGATTAATTAATGCATCATTTATTTTATTTTATTAGCTAATATGTTATTTATATGTATATTTATTTTTTTGGTTATTTATTTAATAGTTTTTTATTTTTTCTCTTTTTTTTTCTTTACTAATCTAAAATTTACTAGAGCGTAAACTTTAAATATTATCTTAATTTTATGATTCTAAAAAATTATTAATTATATATTCACTGTCTAATATCTTTACTAATTAGGTATTTATACCTTTATACATTTGTGTATAATACTTTTTTACTATAAAAAAGAAATGTATTTCATAATAAGTTCTTTTAAAAAATTTTTCTTTCAGATTTATTCAGTTCTCTTTTCTTTTAAGAAAGTATTGATAAAGTGAATGAACTAGTTTAAGATAATGATTCTAATTAAAAATCATTTTCTAATATTTATAGCTTTTCTTTTAATATTAAGAAATGCTTTATATTAAATAAGGTTTTAATAATGTATAAATTTATTTTATTCTAAATAAAACCTTACCACTTCTACATAATATTTAGAAGAAACAGTTATGCATTAACTCATATTTAATCAAGTATAAATATTTTTAATTTAAACAAACAATTAATAAAAGAAATTTTTACTTTATTTTTATAATATATACAATCCTATAATACTTATGTAAATAAATAATATTGTAATAGGATTATCGTAACTTAATTAATCTACATAATATATTGTAAATAGTTATGTAAGTAATATAGTTAATATGATTAATTTAATAGATATATTTAATTTATGTAATGTAAGAAAGTGTAGATTAAAATATTAAACATATCAAACATATATGATATATTAGATTTATATTAAAAGTATCTAAATTCTTGACAAGAAAGTAATTATCAAATGCTAGATGCAATCTGATCAATTTAGCAATGACTATGTGTAACCTTTTTTTATAAAAGTAATGTAAGGCTACTTTTTTCTATTTATGATTAATTCTTCTTTTATATTTCCTTATTTTAGTATTTTTAACTTTTAGTTTCTTATTTATCAATAAATCTTTATTCAATTACCTGAGACATTTTATGATACTTTATATTAGTAATATAATTCACGTTTATTTTTATGAAAATATATTTAATAATATATTAAATATACTTAGCAGTATATAGTAGATGAATCATACATTCATTGTAGGTTTGAATATATTTTCCAATATATAACAAAATTTAATCAATTGAGATGTGAATATATTATAAATAGTATATAAAAAAACTATAAACTTACAGAGATAACTATTAGATTACTATGCAAACTTAAAGAATTACTACTCAAATATTTTATTTAACAGTCGCAATTTGACAGGATTAGCACGTTATATTTGATAATAATAACAAAACCTTCTTTTCCTATTTATATAGTAATATACAATTACAGATCCCCGCTAAAAGTCTCTGAATATCATCTTTTGGCTATTTTATACTAAATACATTATATGACTGTATAATATTGCAGTCATATAATATACTTGATCTTGTTTGCTTAAATCAAAATCAAATAAAAGCGTGTTTGGTTTGTTTATTTTAATTTTTAACTAAAATAAAATTTACCTTCTGAAAATCATAAAAATGTTCAAAGAACAATACAGCAGTATATATTTTGCTGTTAATGTGGCAATAGTTACTAAGCTATTACTGCAAATATTAGTTGTGAATTTTTAATAGCATTTAGAATTTTAAAAAGAATAAATCATACCAGAACT